TTATGGCCACACATAGCTTTGTTATATGGGTGCAGACCCTCCAGCACTGTTCCCACTGAGCCGTCCCCTCAGCCCTGACACTGCTTTCACCCTGACCCATGTGATGATTTGCTCCAACGCCTCACTCACAAGGCAGATCTTCTTTCTGTTTCTATATCCTCACTGAACAGCTCTGAGGTCTTTCCTGCATGAGTCATATCTCTGCCCTTGATCAATTTATATAATTTGGACATGTCTTTCACATATGCATATAGATATTTTTAAAAGAGAGCTCTTTATGGCATGTTTTTCCCTACAAATATCTGTTAAAAATTGGCAACTAGCAAAGGGATTATTAAAGTCTGTCCTGAGACGATGTCCTTGAAATCCTGTATGACCTTCTCTCTCGCAATCATAACTCCTCTGCTTGGCATGGATAATGCATGTTCACTTTGGGTCTTTTCAAAACTTTCTCTAATTCTTTCACAAAATGCCCTACTATGAATTCTGAGGCAGTGGAGACAACTGTCCTATCACAGACTCCGAAGTGTAAAACTCAAATGATTTTTAAAGGTTATAAAACCCAGCCCTTTTATTTTATAGATGATAAAATGGATTTCATTGTCCCTCTGCAGCAGAGCTTGCCTTTAACTATTATTAAGATATAGGAAGTGGATTCTAATTTATCAGCCTTGCTGGGGAAGCCTCCACTCCTAACACCCTCTCTGACGGCCATCTTTTTCTCTTGGATGACTGCAGTAACCCCCCTCTGAACTCTCTCTTCTGAACACAGTCCCCTGAGTTCTAAATCTCAACACTTCTGAATGAACCTGAGATCCTATCACTCATCTGCTCCCAACCCTCCAGAGGTCTCTCATTTCATTCAGAATAAAACCCAGATCCTTACAACATGCTATAAATCTTTTAACAATTCATAGCTCTAGCTCGTCAGCCAGTTACTATTCTCACTCACCCTTCTGACTGCCTCTCCCTCCCTGACTCTGAGCCATGATGCTGGCTCCTTGTAGTTCTTCTGACATGCTAAGCACATGGCTTTAGGAGCCTTTTCTCCCTTGGTTGACCTTGGAACATGTTATTTCTAGATGTCCAGACCAATCAACCTCCCTCCAACTAGTACTATATTCTTAATGAGGTCTCCTTTTGAACAAACCATCCCAATACAATTTAGCTCTGTTCTCATTCCTACTCTAAATTTTCTATTATCAATAGTACTTATTATGTATGTGTATATATATACATATATAAAATACATGTTTACTGTTTACTATATTTATGTATCTATTTTAACCCAAGCTCCATAAAAGCAAGGATATATTTTTCTTGACTGTTGATTCTTTAGTTGACTGATACATCTCTGGCTGCAACAAAAAGTGACCGGTACACAATATATTACAACTAAATATTTGTAGATGAATAAAAATATATGGAAGTAAATGAAATCAATTTGATATTCAAAACCACAGTGAAGACTCTGACAAGATCCAAGTGTCTGTAATTTGGGTTGCATTTCATTGACAGCATACCTTTCCAATGTCATGAAAAATTGCTCACTGTATCTGTAGCTGTGAAGAAGCAACATGATCACAACTAATTTATAAACAACTGGTATTCTGGCTTGTGCTTTCAAAGGGACAAGAGTCCATCATGGCAGGGAGGCATGGTTTCCAATGAAAGGAACAAGAAGCTGAGAGATCATATCTCAGCTGCAATCAGGAAGCAAAGTGTGAGAATAGGACATGGAACCAAATTCTTGCATACCTGTGCCAGTACAAAGTCACCATGAAAATATACCATAAGGAGTCTATCATTTCTAGTCATCTTTCTGGACTGTTCCCATGGAAACCAATACACATCTTCATCCCTCTCCCTAAGTTCCCTTCAGAACCATCTCCCTCACTCCCTGCACCCCTTTTATTTTATCTCCTTCATTATTGAACATCATTGGATAATTTACCAGCTGACAGGAATATGGCTATGAGCTGTGGATAGACCAATGAATGAAAACAAATACTTTATTTTGCTGAGGAAGTTTATTTAGTGTACTTCAAGTATCATAGGACAGATAAAGAAGTAGGTACCTGTAACAGAATGAAAGGAACACATCAAAGTGTTACAGGAACTTATAGCATTGTAGTGGCCTCAAGATATTTTCTAGGGGACATACTTCAAAGCTGAGATAAGAACTGGGTGAGGAAGGAATTCTTGAAATATCAAGTATAAAGTCTTAGGATTGAGTGTTAAAGAGTTAAAGAGCATTCAGAATTTAATCTTTGGGACTGTAGTATGGAGTAGAAAGGATGTCCGGATAAGAACTGTGGGTGGGTGGGGGTAGGTAAAAGGACAGATAGGAGATGAGTCCAGCTTTGTTTGTTTTAGGCAGGCAGTATGACCGCCTTCCTCTCAAGGAAAGTTAATACCATGAAAAGTGACATCCTTGGCTCCGTTCTTTACACAAAAATATCGTGTAAGCATACAGGACTTAGAGATACCCACATGCATCCCTCCCATTTTTCTTTTATCTCTAAATCCAGAATATTCATCCTTGTACCAGTCTGTTCTAATTTGTTTTTCTGTTGCTGTGATAAATATCATGACCAAAAGCAACTCAACAACATTTATCTCAATTTATCAACTGAAAATACTGATGTTCATGAATAATATTCACATATTCTCAACCATTTTCTGGAATGTATATCACTTAAATATCAGCATTACATGAAAGCAGTGTGGTTTGTTCAATTTTATTTTTGGTGGTGCTGGGGATTGAACCAGGCCTTGTGCATGCTGAGCTAGTGATGATCTACCTCTGAGCTCTGTCTTCAAATAAACAACAGAAATGTATGTGCTCAAGTATAGATACATACATTCAGGTATAGACTCTTATGATTTTTATGCTTTTCTCATAACACCCCTGATCTTGTGGTCTTCTCAGAATCTCCCTTGATTTTCTTGGATAGATACAAGAGTTTATTCTGGATGCTAATTCTATTGCCCACGATTTAGTTATTTGTTTGATGGTTGTGTTTGTCTACATGTATGTCTACGATCCATGTACATGGCTGGTATCCATAGAAGCTAGAAAAGGGCATCAGATCCTCTAGAACTAGATGGTTACAGGTGGTTGTGAGCTGCCATATGGGTCCTGGGAATTGTACCCAGGTGCTCTGGAAACAAAGCTAGTACACATTACTGCTGAGCCATCCCTTTGGCCTCTAATGTCCATCTTTTGTTCACCTAACAACTTTCCTCTGACTAGTTTTCTCCAAATGTCTTCCAAGGAATAGTAGCACAAAAAAGAGGAAGAAACTTTCTTGAAAATTATTGTTAAGACATTGTTGAAAAATGACTTCTTTGGAAAATGAACTTTTAGTGAAATGGCATTTTTAAAATTAGCCAGTGGTTAGAATTTAATTTTTCAACCAACACTCAGTTACTGAATTGATGTTTTATGTATTAGATCCCATCCTATTCTGGGGTCTTCATGATCCAAACTCCAGCCTGATGTTTTCCTTTTTATTAATCAGAGAACAAAGATTCAGAGGTGGTAGTTGTATTAGTTATTTTTTGTGTTGTGACTACAACACCAGGCAGAGTCAACTTAAGGGAGGAAGAATTTACTGTGTATCTGAGTTACTTTGTTTCAGTCATTCATGATGGGGAGGGCATGAGGAACAGCTCAGGCTATGGCAGTGGTATGTGTGGAGGAGGCTGTCCACATCACTGTGGACCAGGAAGAAGAAAGACAGCAAAGAATAGAGCCAGGTAAACTTGCAAAGACCCATCCACCATGCCTACTTTTTTCCAGCAGGGCTCCACCTGGTAAAGGTCCACATGCCCCCAATTAGCACTAGCAGCTGGGGACCAATGACTCAAAATGTGAATCTGTAGGGGACATTTCAGATTCAAACTATAACTGTGTTTGTTTTTGCTTTCTTTCCTTTATTTGTTCTTTTCTGGTGTGTGTGTGTGTGTGTGTGTGTGTGTGTGTGTGTGTGTGTGTGTGTGTGTGTGTGTGATTCTGATGTACCTCTGACTGAATGTATATATGACCAAAGAGAAATATGTGGAGGTCAGAGGACAGCTTTTCTGAGTTGGTTTCCACCTTGATAAGGCAGCTGTCGCCTCATGTTTCTGCTGCTATGCATATTCCAGGCTAGTTGGCCCCAAGTAGGGATTGCAACTGCATGCCACTGCATGAAATTTTCAACATGGTTTCTGAGAAGCAAACATGGCAGACACTTTCACCTTCTGACCTGTTGCCCATCCCCTTTCTTTCCTTTCCCTTCTTTGTAGTTCCAAATCTCTCATAAATGATTGGTAAATATACAAATAATACTGTGTCTGTAAAGGCTAATATTTACCTAAGGATGAAAGTACTCTATGATGGCATTGTGGTCTTTGAACCTGATAACCTCAGAAGAATTCTTAGGGGATAATAATATTTTGAGACTGAATTTGTGCTCTTCTGCAATAGATGGGTGACTCAATATCCATGAGCAACAGATCTTATATTCGTCTGCATTGCTGTTTTTGTTTTCGCTTTGAGGCTTTCTGGATGAGCATTTGTGTTAGTTGGAATCAACATTCTAGAGTTTGATCTAGAATGGGTGGGATATGAGAACAGGAAGTTTTCCCACTGGCAGAGCAAATATTCTGAAAATTGCTATTGAAAGTAGACAACAAACAAATTTAAGGCTGCTGAAATAATAGATTTATATATTTGTAAGTGAGAGAGGAATTTAGGGAAGCACAGCTATGAATTGGGTCTGGAAGTAATCTGCTAAGGGACTCACTTTGACTTCATAGTCTTGCTAGAGCTGTGGAGATAAATAGGATTACTATTAATCATGTAGAATTCGAAAACAGACCAAATCTTCATGAATTTGAAGGGGTACCAGTGGGAAGGTAATTTAAAACTTTGTTGTTTTGAAGGAATATCAGATGAATAATCTACATGCTTGCTTGGGTTCTGGGGTTTCTTATCTACACATATTTTTCAGGTTTAGAGCAGTTTGTTGGAAGAATGCAAGATTTTCGTTTGTACAATGTGTCACTTACAAACAGGTAAGTGGATATGGTATTATAACACTTGGAATACAAGAGGATGAGGGCAATTCACTTAAAGTACCATGGAGACTATAACATTTTTCATCTTTATAGCAATTGGCATATCTTACCTAATTTATATTTGGCCATATTTACTTTATCATAATTTATAATCTTTCACTAATATTTTTCTGTCAGAAACTCCTTATAATATGGGGGTGATCAAAATTATTCACAAATAATTTTCTCTGGTAAAATTTATCGGGTTAAGACAACATAGATTTTAATGTATTTGTTCAAAAATTCTATATAAGGTAGATGTTAACACTTAAAATGGATACATATGACTTTCAGAATTGCTTGCAGAAATTATTAGCATTAGAGAATGTGAAACAATAAAATGACTGGCTATTTTGATACATGAGAAAGTTTTGAGGGACAAGGACTTAGAATGATTGAATATCTGAAGTATTGTACATTTGTTTTCCATTTCTAGTTTATAAAACATCAGATAGACTGTGATGAGGACTCACCAAGCCTTTCCTCCTCTAGAGAGTAGAACTAAAACCTATCTTAGGGTTTGCACAGGCAAATTAGTTCCCATCTTGTGCCCATGAGTTTCCAGTGGAGATGACCTCTGAAGAATCCTGACTTAGAACCTAGGTGAGATAGTATGGGTGTGATGGCCATTCTTGGTTGTTAGCTTAACTGCATCTGGAATTTACTAAAACCCAAATGGATGGGTATACCTGTGAGGGACTTTTTTCTTAAATCATTTGAAGTGGGAAGGCTCACTTCTAATCCATATCTTTGAGGTGGGAATATATACCTTTAATTCAGATATTTTGGTATGGGAAGATTCACCTTCAATCTGGGCTACCCCTGCTCCTGGAAGCCTATGTAAGGATAGGGAAGAAGAAAGCTTACTCTCTCTTTGCCTGTTTCATCTTCCTTTCACTAGCAAGTCCATTGCTTCACTGACATTAGAGCTTGTGTCTTTAGGATTCTGGCATATACTGAAGACCAGCTGAGACATCCAGCCTCATGGACTGAACAACTACCAAGTTCTTGGACCTAGCCATTGTTGAAATAGCCAGACCACAGACTACACACACACACACACACACACACACACACACACACACACACACACACACACACGTACACGCACACACACATGTAAGTCATTCTATAAAGTCTGTTCATCTAGAGAACCCTGACAAATACAGATTTTTTTGACAGCAGAACTTGGTAGATTAAAAGTCACCCAGGTAGTGCTGGTTATGAAGGCATGAAGAGATCATGGAGAGCAGCTGAGGCTTGACATTGTGTGTCAGGGTTGGAGTTCCTGAGGAGAGCACTGGAGAGGTTATTGGTGAAAGTGTAGCCTAGTTGTAGCAAGAGACGCCAACATTTTGTAGAGGCCAGTCTTTCCATGGATGACCACCAAGGACAACAGCAGGTATGGAGTGGATCCAGCTTAAGCCTAGGAGACAAGCTGTGTGCTACAGAGGTCAGAGCCGGAGAAGTGCCCCAAGTGCTTTGGAGGGGTCCAGAGATCATGCATGAATCCCAGATACTGGACATTGAGTTTACACTGCTGGAGTTTGGTTTTTCTTTATTCAGATTGTGACTATGTCCAGGTTCTTCCTTCTTGAAGTAAGACGGTTTTTAACTGAATTTTGATTTTACAGGAGTCCACTGTTGAAAGTTTTTGAGCTCTGAAAAGATATTTTGGATTTTTAAAGAGAATGGATATTTTAAACATACTGAACTTTAGTGCATTTAAATTTGTAAAGACTGTGGGACTTCTAAAGTTACTTACGTTTTTAATGTGAGATCTTGGAGATTAATAAGAAAGCAAAAGTTGTGACTTAACAGTGATGTATTTGTGTGTCAAGCTGACAAGGGGCCAGTTGTTCTGGCTTGTTTTATGTGAACCTGACAAAAGCTAGTCACTGGAGAGGAGAGCGTCTCGGTTGAGAAAGTGACTCCATAAGATCTGGCTGCAGGCAAGCCTGTTGGGTATTCTCTTAATTAATGATTGATGTGGGACAGCCTGGCCTGTTGTGGGTGGGGCCACCCATGAGCATGTGATCCTAGATTCTATAAGAAAACAGACTGAGGAAGCCATGGCAGCATCTATCCATGGCCTCTGTGTCAGCTCCTGCCTCCAGATTCCTTCCCTGTTTGAGTTCCTGTCCTGGCTTCCTTCAGTGATGAACAATGGTGTGGAAGCCTAAGCTGAACAAATCCTTTCCTCTCCAAGTTGCTTTGATTATAGTTTTTATCACAGCAATAGTGACCCTACCCAAGACAATGTGTTTGTAAGGATGAGTTCATCTTATTTACTTGGTTTATTTTTGTGTGTAGTGTGTGTGTGTGTGTGTGTGTGTGTGTGTGTGTGTGTGTGTGTGTGTGTGTATTCCTATGTGGGGGTTTTCATGCAGAGGTCAGTGGACAACCTCAGGTGTGTGTTCTTAACTTCTACCTTGTTTCGAGACACAGGGTCTCTCTTGTTTTAGTCATTGTTCAGCATACCTCAGACAGGTTGGTCTATGGCTTCTAAGAATTCTTCTGTGTTTTCTGTCTCTGAGTATGAGTGCTGAGATCTCAGATGTGCACTACTAATACCATGTCTGACCTTGTCATGAGATCTGAACTCAGATCATCAGATTTTGGCTGCAAGAGCTTCTAGCTACTGAGACATTTCCTTGGCCCCTATATACGGTTTTCAAGGGAAACTTTTTTATATATCTCTTCAAGGGAGACGTAGATTTGCGTGTTAAATTTCTGCATGGCAGGACTTGCTTTCAGAAATTTGAGAAACATCTCAGTTGAGTGATGCTGTAGCCATGGTAGACCCATGATCAGTTTAACTCCTTGTTTATCAGTCTGAAGAATCAGGGGATGCTTTGACAAGGATGCCATACCATGGAACAGGGTAGAAATGGGATGCCCCATGCCCGCTAGTTTTCGAATCTCCTTTGCCTGTACCTACTATGCTGAAGAGTACTGTCACTGCCATTCTTTGGAATGACGTTTTTCCTAGCCAGAGCAAAGATTTCATACCAGTTATTGACTTTGGAACGCATTCAATAGCTGATATCAATTGAAAATTGTCAGTGAGATTTCTAGTAGGTACTTCATGTCCCTTAGTGGAGGAAAAAGTCAGCCACCTCCACCATCACCCCTCTGAGGTCTGAAAGGAAGCCTGTTTCCTCTAGTCAGATGTGGGTTATTGGTATTGACTGTCTGGAAGATGGTGATGGAAATGGTGGGAAGAGAATGGCCTGTGCAGCTCTATAGCAGGCATATTCTTCTTAATGGAAAAATTAAATAGCTAGGCCTGCCCCTGGCATTCTTGTCTGACTGTTGGCAGCCAGTGTACGATCTGAAGCCATTGAAACATTTCAGGAAGCCAGAATCTCACAGATGAGTCACAGGAAACCATTGACAAATGGCCTTGGCCTCAATTCCTTCACCCAAATGAGAAGCCTATAAAATGATACATGCTTTCTTATGCTTTCCCCTGGATGAACTGAAGATGTCATACTAAATCTCATTATTTTTAATATATTGCTGTTCACTCACAGTGTAAGTCAGTTTAAAATCCAGATATATGACTCCTTTCTACATCATCACAAATAGGCACAGTGATATTAAATTTAAACAAAATACCTTGATAAAGAGCAGGGCTTACACACGCTGCCTCCTCTTCCTCCTTCTCCTCTGTCCTTTTCTGGTTCTAGAAATTGAACACAGGACCTCACAGACAAGAGGCACGTGCTTATCACTGACATATGCCTCCAGCCCTCTTTCTACTTTTCATTTGGAGACAAGATCTCATTATGTTGCCCAGGCTATCCTTGAACTCTCTTTGTAGCTCAAGCAGATCTTAAATTGGAATTCTTCGTGACATTATCCAGAACAGCTGGAATCACAGGCATGTGCCATTAGGCTTGGCTAGCCATCCTGTTGTAGCTCTTAAGGGTCAATGAGATGGCTCAGATGGCCAGAGTGCTTGCTCTGTGAGCCTGATGACCTGAGTTCAGTTCCCGGAGCCCACAGTGGGAGGAACCTGATGATCTGAGCTCAGTCCCTGGTGCCCACAGTGGGAGGAGAGGCTTGATTCTGAGAGTTGTACACTGACTTCCTCTCTCTGTCCCCGTCTCTGTCTCTGTCTCTGTCTCTGTCTCTGTCTCTGTCTCTGTCTCTGTCTCTCTCTCTCTCTCTCTCACACACACACACACACACACACACACACACACCCCATAATTTTTTAGAGTTAAAACAAAACATCCCATTTTTGAAGTACATTTGTCTTAGTGTCTTTCTTTGTCCCTGTGACAGAATGATCTGACAAGGGTGTGTTGTGCTCATAGCTCATGGTACCGTCCTTCACAGGGAACAGTGACAGCAGATGGAGCAGGAAGCCACTGGCCACATCACATCCACAGTGGAGAGGCAGGCAGAGAGGGATGCTTGCTTGCAAGAACTCAGATTGTTTTTCTCTATTTCATATAATCCAGGAAATATGCAAAGGGCATTATGCTGACCATAATGTTAAGATGGGTCTTCCCACATCAAATGATGTAATCTAGATAATCTCTCAGAGATATTCTCAGAGGATATTGTTAATCCAGACAATCCTTTTCCCAGGTATGCCTAGAGCCTTGTCTCCCAGGTGGTTCTAGTTTCTGTCAAGTTGACAATCAACATTCTCACCATCACAAAACTCTAGAGTAGTGAAGATATTTATTTGTCCAAAGTGAGTTTTATTTTATATTCCATTGAAAAAAATTATTAAAGCTGAATGGTCAGTCCTCCAAACACCAGAAGGGTACTATCAGCTCTTAGAAGGTCTGTCGCCATGAGGTTATGTGTCCTTACCTTCTTCTCTGGACCATTGCAGAGAGATTCTGGAGGTCTTCTCTGGAGATCTCCCCCACTTGCACACCCAGCCACATTGCCGCTGCCCAGGCAGCCATCCTCGTGTCCACCCCTTGCTCCAGCAGTACTGCATTCCCAATGGTGCAGAAGACGGACCCCATCATCGAGTGTCACGGTTGAATCCCGAAGCCCATCCTCTCTCCTTCATCAATGATAATGACATGGCTACTTCATGGATTTCCCATGTATTTGCAAACTTTACGCAGCTTAATCAAGGAGTGATTATTTCCATAGACTTGGAAAATGGACAGTACCAGGTAATCAGAGACAGCATGATGCCCAAGCTCTAGTGGCTTCAGTTTTTGCCTTTGAGGAAAAGAAATGTTCTCTCACACTCCTGAGGACCCAAAATATGCAGTAAAGGTGTTAGCAGAGATGCCCTCCCTCCAGAGGAAGATGGGCAGGGAAGAATCTTGCCTTTTTCAGCCTCTTGACGTCTGTTAATTCATGGACCTGTAACTCCAGGTTCTGCCTGTTTACCTGTTGTCCATGATTCTCAGAGTGTGTTAATTTCCCCCTCTCCTTCTCTTTAAATAGAATGACCTCATTTTAAGATCCTTGGGTTTATTAGATCTGTAATGGCTATTTCCAAGAAGGTTATTTTCACAAGCACCTGTAGTTACCTCTTGAACATATTTATTCAGATGTACAATTCATCCACTATGTGGCAAAACCTAGAGTTGTAATGAAGGAAATCACAGTAGCTAAAGCTGACATCCAGTGTTTAATGTTTACAGATTGGTATTAAAATGGCATTTATGGAATTTTTGAACTTTCTTTTAATAAGAACATACATTAATAGGACAGGTGCCTATTCATATGTACTTCATGGGAGTCATTTTCTTTGTTCATATCTTTATAATGGGTTCACTGTGATTTACAAAATCATTGAGAATAGGAAGAAATACGTAATTACAGAATGTATTGCCTTTACTGTAGGTCTGAAGTTCCTAGATGTTCCTTAAATTGTCCATCACAATAATTAGAGGAAGTGAGTCTTTATATTCAAATCTGAATTCTCAGTGTTTTGGCTCCTTAACAATGTGTTCAACTTAACCACCCATGACAATAATAATGGACATTTCCATCCTCAGGTATTTCGAATCATCATTCACTTCTCCAGCCCACAGCCTGCAGCAATAAGGATTCAGAGGAAGAAGGTGGACAGGTCTCCCTGGGAGGACTGGCAGTATTTTGCTAGAAATTGCAGTATTTGGAGAATGAAAGATAATGGAGATTTGGAAAATCCTGATTCTGTCAACTGCCTTCAGTTTCCTGAGTATGAACATTTCCCAAACAATTGTTTTTAATAAACTAATGCCTTTGTCCTAACCTGTGGGCCAGGCAGCTGACTAGGCTAGAAGAGATCTCTCTCTCTCTCCATCACTGGTTTGAGGGGAGGTTGAGTCACTGTGCCCCCCCTCCCGTGCGCCCAGTTGAGCTTTAAACTGTTTATAGTTCCAGTAAAGGACAGAAGTATCTACATTTACAATCCACTCCTGCTGTCTAATGTGGCACTCATCTTATTCAGCCAGCGTCTGCATTTGCGTTCTCGTGGAACTTCTAGTCAGCCTCTCTGTGACGATCCCACTTTACTTATATGGAAATGAATGGAATATTTATTCATTTCCCAACCCTGAAGAACTTGGGAGTGTCCTAACACTGTAGAGAAATAACCCAAACTTGTGATTTCCATTTGATCAAAACCATGAATAGCTTTTTAAAATACAAAATTTCTTTCCTTGACAGTTTTACCTCATTCTCCCATGGTAATGTCACCTTTGACCTCCTGACCCCTGGACAGAAGCAGCGTCCTGGGTATGATGACATCTACAATAGCTCACTGCTTCAGGAATTCATGCGTGCCACTCAAGTGAGGCTGCACTTCCATGGGCAGCTCTATCCAGCTGAGCGCACCGCTGACCCGGGACACAGATACTATGCAGTGGATGAGATCACCATCACTGGGAGGTAGTACTGAGGACCAGAGGTCTGAATGCCCTGTTAGTTTCACTGTGTGTGTGTGTTTTTAATAAGGTGTTTGTTGTACATATTTTTAAAAAATGTAGTAGCTGAGCTCTTGGAGCAGGCCAGATTGGAGCAAGAACTTTCAGATGATTGTTCACTTAGAAAGCACAATATTCTGAAGGTTGAGAATGTATTTAGTGGCTGAGTAAGCCTAAACCTCAGACTGTAAGAAAAAGGTATGATACCCTAAATATGATATGTTCAGAATTTCTCTAAATATGACATAGGCAGAATTTATCATACATTTTACTTAAGTTTGTTTTAGAATGTAATTTTAAACTATTCTCTATATTTAAAAAGGAGAAACAAAATTTGGGTTGTAGCTATAGTATAGTAAGTATGTATGTAAGTATGACACTTGGTCTTCTCAAGCTCATAGTTCCAAGTTCCAGAAGGTCACCTGTCTGTCATCAAAAGAGAAATATATTGTTCCCTAATTGTTGATAAATTTATCATCACAGTTAAGAACATGACGCACAATGAAAAATAGCTTCAAATCTAGGCAGCATACTGTTTGGTATGGCAAAGTATATATGCAGTATGCTTGAAGTGGATTGTTCTAGGAAATGGTGTATTTTGAACATTTAAAGAGATATCCTAAAATAGGAAGACCCAAAATATCAACACTGATTTGTTATGTAACATAATAATAAAAGAAATGCTATTAAATAATATTTTCCACATGACTATGAAACAAAGGCCAAAAGCTGGAAATCTACAGTTTCCTAAGTATAGCTTGAATAGTTTCAACAAATGCCTTCCTGGGACAAATACCACATGATTGGAGGGAGTCACTGTACACTATCTCACTTCCCTTCTCAAGGTGTCTTCACAGTGACCTTTACAAACCATTGAGGTTGGGTCCATACAGTCAGAGAGAGTCGTGTTGGCCTTTTTCAAGTGTGGAGTGTGTACGCCCACGGGCTCTTGAACGTATTGGCAGTGGCTTGCTTCTGAGGTGTGTGGGGTGCTCGTGTTCACAGATGCCAATGCCACGGACATGCTGAGACCTGCGACAGGACCAGGCGGCCTTATAGATGCCTCTGCTCCCCAGAGAGCTTCACAGAAGGGCCTCAGGTGTGTGGCTTCATCCGGGAAATCTAAAAGGAAATGGGGAGGGTAAATGGGAAGGGTAAATCTTGATTTTGGTCCAGCTTCAGAATGTACTTAAATGGATAAGAACTTAAAATATCAATTTTCTTAAAATGTTATTGTGGAGAAATACAGCTACTGATAAAGTTTAAAGTTGTGTGTTTATTCTCAAAGAAACTGCATCTGAAGTGAAACCCTAAGAGTCCCTACCCCTTCTCTCTCTTCGTTGGTTTATCAGCATTGTATGTTGACTAAAATAACATTTAAGTTGTCCTGATAGACCAACACTGGCCAGTGAAAGCTTTGACTACTTCCTCTGAAAAAGGTGTTTGCTTGAAAGAACCTGTAACACCAGGGCATGATGTACACCTGTGATCCCAGCACCAGGGAGAGGAGATGGGTTTAAAGTGCTTGTATTACAAGCATGAGGACGTGGATGAAATCCATAGAGTTCATGTGAAAAGCTGGGCATAGCAGTGTACATTTGTCATTCCAGCATTAAGGAGGCAGAGACTGGGGGTTCTCTGTGGCTCACTGGCCAGTTAGCTTAGTATATTTGATGAATTCAAGCCAAAGAAAGTCACTGTTTGAAAATGAAATGGACAAAGCCTGAGGAACAACATCCAAGGTAGTCTTCTGGCCTCCACATGCATATCACATGTGAACACAAATGAACACGAATATGGACAGACTTACACAGGCCTGGAGAACTTATTTATAAATTTCCAATTTAGGTCTAGCCAAGAAAGATGTTCCCTGGGCCTATGTGAGTCTATGAGGCATGCTGATGGAAGAGCCAGAGCACACTAATCTACAGAACCATATTTATGTAATACAAATGATAAAAGTGTAGTTGTAATTTAGTTTACAATATTTGAAATTGTAATGTTAACTCATATGACCCAATTGCTATGGAAAAATCATATGCAAATTGTCAGTTTTATTAATGATAAAATTTTTGACAAGATTAAAAAATGACAAGATTGCATTCTTTAAACATTTTCTAAATTTGAGAGATTAAAAACACTATTTGATTATGAGGTGCACATGCTTGTTTGAAACCAAGGTTTGGGACATTTTTCATGTGTCTACAGAATGCTACTCCATTTCATCATTGGTTTGTGTGTGTGTGTGTGTGTGTGTGTGTGTGTGTAAGTATTGTTCATATTTGTGTGCAGTATATCTTGCAATATTTGGGAACATCTTTAAATCATCTTTGAAGGTTTTGGCAGTGTGCCTTTCTGTCCTTTGAGAAACTTAATCCAATCTAAATTGCTCTCAACTGCATCATTAGTGTGTGCAGCCTCAATGGCCAGAATGCCCTCTAAAATACACACGTTGTCTGATTCTTTGGGGGAACGGAGATGAAAACAGGCTCGTGCATGCCAGACAAGGCTTCCTTCACCAAGTCACACTCCGAACCTCTGCTGTTTTGGTGGTGTCATCATTTATTTGTTTGACATCGTTTATTTTGAGGTAGGGTTTTTGTACAGGGCTCTGACTGATCATGAACTTGCTCTGCAGCCTGGTAGGACTTGAACTCATGATCTTACTTCAACCTCTTGATTTCTTGGTATTATAAGCTTGCACCACCAAATCAAGCAATAAAGATTTTTTGCCTGTTTTGTTTTTGTGTTTGTTTGTTTGTTTTGGTTTTGGTTTTCAAGAAAGGATTTCTCTTTATAGGCCTAGTTGTCTGGGAACACTCTGTAGACCAGGCTGGTATTGAACTCACAGAGATCCACCTATATCTGCCTTCTGAGTGCAGGAATTAAAGGTGTGCACCACCACTACCCATCAAGATTATTTTTTAATAAGTTTAGTTCTATGGCTTACAGCATTGTCTCTAAAATTAATTGAATTAGATTGATCAATTTAGTGTTTATTGAGTCATCAACACAAATGTGCACATGTCTCACATACACACACACACACACACACACACACACACACACACTTTTGCCGACTGGTTCTACATGTATAATTAAACATTTATGCCTAATGACATTTTTCTACCTACCGTCATCTTGTTATGCCTGAAGACCACTTCCTCAACCTACTGCAATTAGTAATTTCTTTAAATTCTTTTACTTTTTCTTCCTAGTCTGCTAAAAAACTAATTTAAAAACTGCCCTGGGTGGACTTAGCAAGATGCATTGAACAGGACCTAGCTGGTACCCACACGCTAAGCTTTACCCTGGCATATTTTTTCTCATGATGTGGAGACACACACTTTCTGGCAACGTGGTGTTGCTTAGTTTCCCCTGTCTAATGTTAGATGACGCATTCTGTCTCAGCCTTCCTCCCTTCCTTCTCTTTCTCTTCTTCTTATGCCCTTTCTCATTTTATTCTTTCTGATTGCTCACACTGATGTGTTTGATATCTTATCATTCTTGGGTAATTTTATTCCTCTTCTTAAAAGTAGAGGCATTAAGTGAATCAAGGTTTGTGATTGGTTTGAGGGGTCAAATTGGGATTGTCATACTTGGACTCAGGTGGTGCCTGTTGGGTTCAGAGCTGGTGAGTTAATTAACTATAATTTAGGCTGAGCATATATTTTGATGCTTCTTATTTAGATAGCACCTTTGGAAAACTTGAAAAAGTATACCTATGTAATTTTCTTTTTGTCCTATTTGATAATTCATTAATTTAGTTATAAATAAAAAAATGCTTAATATACAATTTGCTTAGAAAAGTTTGCCAAATGCAGCTGAAAGGGAAATGTCAATAAAGTATTAAGTTGTTATCAAATCATCCAACCATAAACTTTTCACATTCAATATTTCATTTTAAAAATGTTTTGATTTAAGCCATTCCCATCCTGTGGGACACCATGCACTTTTTAAAGGCCTGAAGAATGTCTTCAGTTCACAGTGTTATGCTAACCACAAAGGGTAGTACTCAACAAACATGGCTTTTGTGAATTATTGCCATTTGGCAAATCAGTGAAAAGGTAAGCCTTGAGAGCATGCCAGTTCTTGGCAACTTTCTTTTCTATGAGAAAGTGTGTTTAGCAGAAGTGAAAGGCAAATTGGAGAGAAAGGGGAGAATCATAAATTCAGGAATTTGCCTTGCTGGAACACTGTCCACACTTTCTTCAGTTATTCATAAAGAGACAAATCGTGGTCCAAGAGTGGGCACAGTGTTTATACAGTTTTGATATTCTTTTCAAATATAATTTTCATCATTTTTATCTAATCAGGAAATAGTTACTACTCTATTAGTTTTCTGTGATGACAACTGGTTGAGTGATGGTAGCAATTACCTCACTTAAAGAAATTTCTTGATTTTATTTTGTGACTACACTTTGTACCACCTATAGCCTTGTATCAGGGTGACCTCAAAGAAGTGAACCATCCATTCTCTTGAGCTAAGGAGACCTATGTAAAACATACTGATAGATTGATAAACTGGCATACTACAAAATTTATTATTCAGAGTACAGTCCAACTGGCTGTCTATTGCTGCCAGTGGCTAACTTGTATGTTTTAACCTTTCATAAAAATAGAAATTAAGAATGAAGATTCTCTCAACTTAATACTAAAGACGGTGCTTGCCATGAAATGTATTAAATCTGGATTTATTTTTTTCTCTTTTTCTATTATAATTTGTAATTGCTAGACTGTGGGCCTTGGGGAGGCTCCCTTAATAATATTTCTGAGGAACTCTGATACATTTTGCATTATATTGCCAATTTAAGTTTTTGACTTTAATGTATGATATATACCATAAAAATAATGGCATATTTCATCAATAGAGAACACTTTTAGAGGGCTTGTGATGTGTCTTCCCAAGGAAGACCAAAGCAGCACATGATTAATGTGCTCGGCCTGTTTGGAGATTGATCTGAGGCAAAACGAATTCAAAATACTAGATGCTACCCATTAGCTTTCAAGCAGAATTAAGTATTTCAAAGCAGAAGTCAGGATTGCATGGCATTGAACTTACATTAATCATCAGATACCTAGCATAGAGAATCATATTTTCCAATGATTACTTTTATTTTGTTAAGACTCATTATTGCCCATGCACATATTTTGGGGGTATTTATAAGTCTTTTTATTTTAACTGTATATTTGCATATAGTTATTGATAAGTAATGCAGAGATTTTGTATACCTATGTTCATCTGCACCCATAGTAATATCTTCCAAAACTCTTATGTTTTAATTTCTTTTAGAATATATGGTTTATATACCATAAACCACACGCGTTGAATATCCAAAGTTGGAAGAGTTAGGGCAACTCTGTAACCACTAGCCTGTCAGGATAGAGAATGCATACCTCTCCCCAGACACTCGCTTACATTTTCTGACATCAGTGCTCCACCTCCACACCCCAGTCCTATTTAACTTCAATGGCTGTTGATATTTATTCCCCTGTTGCACAGGCTTTAAAATCTCACTCTACCAACTCCCTCTTTAGGTTATTTTCTAACTACTCATGACAGTATCTTTATCAAAATAGGGAGCTTGCCTTTCACTTGGACAGGCCACCAACTCGATGGGATCCATGGAGGAGTGTAGGCTGGACTCATAAAGCACAATAGAACCTAGGAATTTTGCAAATCTGGGACTGTGTATTTATATACTTACTGACGTGGTTGCATAGCACTATCTACCTCCTCATTCTCTTCCCTTCTTCTCTGCGGCCTTTTTATTTAATTGTGTGCTTTGGAGATAAGTTCTTGGGTAACCTCATGCCTGTTATAAGCCGAGACAACCTTTGAACTCCCGGTGCTCCTGCTTCCACCTCTGAGGAACTGTAGCTATAAACCTTTGCCACAATGCCTGGTCTTATCTAGTATTTACATGTTTTAAGGGTTCAAGCGTTGATTGAATCTGCTTTTAAGAAAGGTGTTACTGGGTGAACCTTGCATGAAAATACACTTTCCTTTTCCTTCACCAGCTATGGTCTAGGCCAAGAGTGATGCAATGGCCAGGGTGTCGGCCAGCACTGGCTCTCTGGCTGCTTAGCTATTCTTCC